GAGTTTTTTTATAACCATACCACAGAAGTTTCTTATAACCAATCCACAAAAAATTTTTCATAAAAATTTTTTGTGGTATGGTTATAAGAAACTTCTTTAAACAGTCTTTTTATATGAAACAAAAGCTACATCTTGAAAACTAAATAAACTATAAAAATTACTACTTCAGGATTCTATGACGTTTGATTTTAAGAAAAAGAAGCATATAATATATGCTTAAGCATATAATAATAAGCATATAATTATATATAATATATGCTTAAGCATATAATAATAAGCATATAATATATGCTTCTTTTTAGCAGGGCTATTTAAAACCGTGTCACACTCACACAGTTGTAAGCATATATTTTTATATATTATATAAGAATATCTAGTTAAATATGTGTATACATATGTAAGCATATATTTTTGTATAATATATTGTATAGAAATATCTGCTTACGCATAGGTGCGCGTGTGTGCGTGTGTGTGAATGTATGAGTGTGTACATATATAACCACTTAAATGAATACCTTTAAAAAAAGACATTTTCAGAAAAGCATTATTAAGTCAATGGTGTCCATAAGTTTATGTTTTTGATAATTTTGTTTAATTTTTTATTATTAGTACTCCATATTTAAATGTTGATTTTGAATTTCTAATTATTTTGTGATGACTATGAGTCAGTAGAAATTAAACATAATTAAACATAATTTTAATGCAAAAGTACGCCACTATACTACATTTGCTAGTCAATTAAAGCTCAATGTTCAAATCAATGAACATGTAAATTTATTTTTTTGAACTTGAAGTTTAAATTTTGACTATTAAAAGAACTTTCCAATTTGTGTGTTTTGCAGTTGTAATGATTTATTCATTTATTTTAAATAAAAAAACAGAAAAATCATAATATTAGTGATAGACATCTACATACTGCGTATGAACACAGTTTATGATAGACATCTACATACTGCATATAAACACAGTTTATGATAAACATCTACAGACTGCTCATGTACACAGTTTATGATAAACATTTATATACTAAATATAAACACAGTTTATGATAGATATCTACATGCTGCATATAAATACAGTTTATTTAACATTTAAATTACATCATTAGGCATTTGAACGTTTGGAATCTATTGCTCAACATTAGATTCGTATTATTCATGATAAAAATTGATTGTCTTAAAACCATTTGCCAAAGTCAGCAGTCATTTTCAAAAATGCTATTCTTAGCTTGACCATTTCCGCCTGTCGTACTTATTCTTCTTATCAATCGGCTTAACGGAGCGTCATATAAAATTCATTTTTACTTTTTTTTCCAAAATTTTATTAAAATGTATCAAAACAAAATAAAAAGTTAAAACAAAAAATTTTAAACTTTATTAATATAAAATAATTATGTAAATATTTTCTATTAATAAAGCAAAATTTTTAAACAACGTTTTAAACTTTTCAGACTTTGTTAAACTTAATGTAATGAAAATACGGCCGCAAAGTTGGATAAAGCTGTGCAAAGATGTGTAAAGCTGGCAACTGAAAATTTTACTCTTCTAAACAAAATTGTAGTTTAAGTTTTTTTTTTTTATAATGAAAGTCTTTTATAAGATTTTGTGAGATATTGATAATTTTAAAAGATGTCGCTACTCGTTCTAATGGTTCATGTTAAAACTATTTGTTTTATAGAATTTGAAATCACTTTTCGTTTTATTAACAGCTAACAGTACAAAAAAAGTAAGGGTGGATTTTTTTTTAAGAAATAGAGATGAAACTATAGAGTTTTTAATCACATCAGAGTTGGTCAATAATTTGAGACAATTTTAATAAATTTGAAAACGGCAAGTTATTAGTTGAAAACTATGAACAAAACCGATGAATTATTCTTCAGCAAATTACGACAAGTCAATAAAATTTTCTTTACACAATTATCTACCGAAATATATTTTACAGCGTCATGTGAACCAAGAATTTGAAAAAGAAATTGTTTTAATACAATGATGTCACACATTATTTTAACTGAACACATTGGATATAATTCTGTTAAAGCTCTCATTGTAAAATGTGTCATCATTTATCATTTAGAGCTGTATAAAAATCAGTCTGATTTAATTAAATGCTATTGACGAAATTTAAGAAAATAAATTTGAGTACTCTAAAAGATATGTTAGTATTCAGTTTCATTTTAAAGTTAACGTTGAAGTTAGCTTAGCAGAAACTTAGCAGAAAAGATGCTACGTTACTTGCAACACTATTATCATTTCTTGCAAGACTATTGTCACTACTAACTCGCAACACGTCATGTATTTGATGAACAAATTGAACGATTGTATTGAAAATATAAGAGAAATTTTAAATAAGCTTGTATTTCCGAGAAGTTATACTAATACACATAAATCACCCAGTCGATACAAAACGTGTTTAAGACGTATTAAAACGTCTAAAACACGTTATGTGTCCAATGGGCAGAGAAAACATAAACCGATGATTTTACATTGGATGTTTCTGCATAATTTATCTTTATCAAAATAATATAAATGGTTTATTATTTATAAGTTTTACTTGATATAACCATACGTCTAAGAACTAATGAAACAATTTTCGTACGGAAAAAGATTTAAAAGTTCGCTTTATTTCAAAACGCTCTTCTAATTAGCAAATCAGCGGAGAGAAAGTATTTTCAAAATCAAGATTTATGATGTCAAAAATTAGAATAACAACGAAGATGATGAAGGTTATTGCATTTTAAAAGAGTTTTAGTTAATTTTAGTTTAATGTTTTTTTAATTTTTATTTTAGTCTAATCTATTAGTAAATATCAAATAAATGGTTTTCATAAATAAATGCAGTTTTTGAAAACTTTTAACAAGTAGTCGAATCATTCGAATAAGTGGATTAATTAAAAAAAGTCATTCGAATAATTAACTAAAAAATGTTATTCGAATTATTAAAATAATTTAAAAATATCATTCAGATATTTCAATAATTCAAATCAAGTTCGAGCATTGTGCAAACTTTATATTTAAATATTTTCATGTTGATGCAAAAACATATAGCATTACAATTGTAGTGATTGAAGCCTGGGAACAAAAGTATTCAAAAGTTCTGGCACAATTCCAAATGTGCCAGCATTGAACAAATTTTTATTAGTTTCTTATATTTTTTATAAATTTAAACTCATTAACAGGTTTTAAATTTTATTTATTTCGTCTTCAAAATTAGTTTTTATTAAAGAATAATTTTAACTTTTATTTAGAAAATTTAAGCTTAGATATTGTTCACAGTTTCGTTTTTGCTTTTATAATTATTTTCCTTAAACAATAAAAAAACGTTTTTCAGCGATGTTTGTATTTATTGTTGTAAAGAATTTTTTTTTTTTTTTAATTTAGTGAATTTCTTCATTTTATAGATTATTGTAACAAAAACAGTCATGTTAAAGTTTTATTAAAGATTTTTTAATAGAAGATTTAAGTTAATAAAAAGTAGAAAGAATTTAAATTGAATTATCAAGTGTTTTAAAAAAAAATTGATTATTTATTTTATTTTTGAAAATTTTATTAATAAAAATAAAAAATAATTTGAAAAACATTGTATCAGTAGCAACTCTTGCATAGGTAAACAATTGGTAGTTGTTCATACACATTATTGGTTGTAGTGATTCATACACGATATTGCGCAACAGTCTAAATCAAATCTTGAGTCAAAATTACAAATTGATAATCCGTTTAAAACACCATCATCTCATCATGAATCATCTCAATCATGCGATGCGTTTAAGTTCAAATAAACCTTATATTTGTATATATTTATCATAAATGAAATGATACCGCTTTGCCTCTTAGCTTTTTCTTGTAACAAATCTTAAGTAAAATGCTAATTATCGAGCAGCAATTTTTGTATTAGCATTGGAAACAATATTATTCATAATTTCATAAAACTTAGTCATGGGTCAAACTTCTAGCGAAGGCAAGGGAAAAAAGAGGAAAAAAGCATAGTTTAATGATGGCGCAGAGAAACCTGAAACAATTCTGTGCACTATTTGTGGGGTCAATATTGACAACCCCATATTGTGTGACCTTTGCGTCAAGTGCGATGTCTGCGATGAGTATTGTTGTCCAACAATTCGGAATTTTATTGCATGCGATGCATTCTGCGCTTGAAATCTAACGCTATCTCAATCGTATCACTTTTTTTTTTCTGTTCTTTTTATGTGTAAAAAATTGTTTAGTTTCTTAGGATTTGTTATTTATTCTGTTACTAACATTAGACCGGGTGAATAAATAAAAGCTATTGGTTTTACTTATCAATTGGTCAGTTTTACGTAAATAAAAACTTTAGGAGTTGTCGACAAATTTTTATTCACGTAAAGTTAAACAGTTTACTCAGTAATTGTTCAGCTTTACGTGATTAAAAACTTAAGGAAAATTGCTGAAGCTTTTATTCAAGTAATGTTGACCAATTATTGTGTAAATGCAATTGCTTTTTTTTATTCACCCGGCCTATTTATTGTAGATATTTGTAGTATAACTACTTTTTGAAATTTTTTCAAAGAGGAATGAAACCGCCCTAATTTTGAACATGTTAAATTTTTCAATAAATATTTCTCAATTGAAATAGCTAAGAGTTTTAATATTTGTTCACAAGAAATAAGACAAAAAAAAATTATATCCTTTTTCATGTAAACGAAAATTAACTCTTAGTTACTTCAATTGATCTTAAAAATATGAGACATTACAAGTCTAAAACATTTACAACAAAACAAGTTAAACCCAGCAATTAGAGAGCAAACAACCCTACTTGAAAAAACAGTTAAAGATATGCGTTAAACAAACAAGTAAACATAAAGACAGCAAACAAGCGAACCAATAAAAAAGAGTTAACAAACTAATTAGCAACTAATTGATTAAATTAAATATCATTATTTTGTAATAAAGTTTGTAATAAAAAATAACTATTAAACATTCAAAAATGTATTTTAATTAACATTTAGAAATGCATTTAAATGTAAAACACCTTATCTGTTGTATTCCCACATTGTTCTTTCGACTTTGTTTTGGAAACAAATCTCGTGCTATTTAAAATCACAAGACTTTAATTGAAGTAATTTAATTAAATAATATCTTTAATTACTTGCTTAGATTTTCTTAAATTTTGACAGTTTGTCTAACACTGTTAGACTTCGCCTTAACAAACGAAACCACTCAGTGAATCGCAAAACCAGCGTTTTAACAACAAACGCCATAAGAGAGACTAAAATATAAAAAAACGTACGCAGCAAATGAGTAACTATTTACTTTAGTAGCCGGATGCTAAAAGCTGTTAACAGTTGTGTTGTTTTCGACTAAATAAAAATGAGTAATTTACTAAAAAATCTTTACGTAATTAGTTTATACTTTAATTAAAAACTCGAATTAACAGATAAAAAGTATAACGATAACAATGTTAATAGCGATTGGATCAAACTTTCTTGGTTTTATTTGGAAATCATAATGGTTTCAAAAACCTATGTCTTGTTTAAAAATTTTAGTATAAAAAATATTTGTTTTTATATAAAAAATGTTTGTTTTTGAATTTCCAAATGTGTAATATGTTTGAAATAAAATTCTTCATATGACATAAAAAAAGTATATCGATATGTAAATTATAGAGTTTCCATCTACATTCAATAATTAAACATTAATTAATAACTAATAACAAACAGTATCGATTTCTAAAAGAACAAATCTAAAATAAACAATTAATTGACGATTCGCGACCCTAGAACAACAAGGTTCCAACATCCACTAACACGAAACTGAGATAATATGCAAAATCATTAATGCTTTGTTGCAAATCATTTTATCGGATCGAAAAGCTTTTTCTTTATTTTCTTCAAACAAATTTTTTGAATCTTTAAGTTTGATTCTTCGCACAAGTTTATTTTTGAATTTGTACTTCAGTTTCTATTAGACTTTTAATGTTATACGTTCATTTCCTTTTTGTATTGTATTCTTGATGTTAACATTTGTATAGTCCCCTTCTAAAAAAGACACTTTGTATTCCATCTCAATCATCTCTTTAAAAAAGAGACTTTGTATTCCATCTCATCTCCAAAAGAGACTTTTTATCCCAACTTTTATTATGTTATTCTTAAACAACATATTTTGAATAAAGGATTTTTTTTTGATTAAAGTTTTTATAATTAACACACGCTAAAATCTTTGAAACTATTTGGTAGCATTTCAATAATGCAAAATGGGCTTTTTTTTTATCTGCCTCATTTAATAACCGAATAAAAGTAATGGCTGAATAAAACTCATTTGCTTTCATAATTTGTTATCTGGCTATGAAAACACTTTTTGTATTCCTGAATGACAGAAGTCAAATATTTGATTGTAATTTTTTTATTTTTGGACTTTTCAAAAAATTTGACACTCTTAAGATATAATGCTGTTCCTGTTTTGCGAGACGCAAAAGTCACTCCATGTGAATAGTTTTTTAAAATCATTTTCTCCAACTATTTTGTCTAGTATTTTTCTAAAAGCGCTCGCTAAGTTGTTACCGGTTCTGCTTGAAGATATTTCTTCAATAGCTGTTTCTGTCGTGGTAAAATATGGCATTAAATTGTACATGTTTATAGTTTTCTTCGATAATAGAAGAAGTCTACTCCAGCTCTTGGCTACTCTTTAATATTTTGAAAATCAAACATGGCTGAAGGAATATTCCAACTTTTATCTTAATTTTTTTCTTCCTCATTAAGTTTTTTTGGCGAACATGTTCCTAATACTTTACTTAATGTTCTCAGGGTTTGATTTTTCTAACAATTCGCAAGTATCACATATGTCGCTTTTTGGAATATGGAAAGTAATATTTAGTTTAGATTAATATTAGTAAAAATACAGGTATACATAAAAAAATTTACAGGTTTTTTAAATATAGCTCAAACATTTTTTGGATGTTCAAATTAGATTCAAAGTTCTTCTGGGACATTTTACCTAGACAATAATGTAAACTGACTCGATGAAATAAGTTGATATGCTTCCTGACAATGATTTTATGACAGTTGATATGCTTTTTGCTTTTATCTTATACTTTTTTTTTTTTTTATTTTGTTTAGGTGCCTAAAGAAGTCCTTACGGTCTTATCAAAGAGCACCGCGGATGAGCATTTAATAGGAAGTTTACGCCTCCTTTCTTACTAATGTCGCAAAACTTGCCCAGAGGTGGGAATTTCAGAAATATTTTTTAAGTAAAAACATTCATTTAAACAATTTTTTTTTTAATCTATTTTTTCTGATTTTTTTACTCTGCTTTCTTTTCGGACATTTCTCGTGTTTCTGGCAACGTCAGAAATATACCAGAATTTCTCGTGTTTCTAGCAACGTCAGAAATATACCAGAATTTCTCGTGTTTTTAGCAACGTCAGAAATATACCAGAATTTCTTGTGTTTCTAGCAACGTCGCTTTCTTATATTTTGTTTTATGTAATTGCACTGAAAGCAAATTTTTTTTGATAAATTATTTTCTTCTTGCTTTATCTAATTTTGTAATAATTTTTAGACAATTAATCTAAGCTCAACGACTTTAAATAAACCTCACCTTAATTTACCTTTTTTTTTTAACTTATGACGAGTTGCCTTAATTTGGTTTATTTGTTACGATGACATAAAGAAAAAAAATAAAAAAACAGATTCTATTAGAAATTAAGATAAAATAATATTAATAATGATTGTATTCAATGAAGTTTTGATAAAATATAAGATGTACCTATTGAATTGATCACAAATAAACCTGAATTATTCGACGCAGCTCTCTACTTGCATATCTTCACCAATAACACATGCAGCAAAGAGAGCATATCATTAATAACTTGAATACAGAGTAATGAAGCTCTTATGAAGTTCAAAAATTGAAATATAAATTAGAAGCATATTTCGATTAATCTATAGTTACTTAAGGATTTTTCAATTATTTTGATATAACAATAAGTTATGCGTGTTTTCCTCTATCATTATTTAATTTACCCATAAGTTGTTCTCAAATATATTGATATCACTAGTAATGCTTTAATAAGGAAAACCAGAAAAATCATAAAATGTACATCATTGCAATTATAATTCAAACAAAGGAAGGAGTTCATAGATAATTAATTCGTTAAGCAAAGAGGTATAACATATATTAACTCAATTCTAATATATAGACATTTAGTAATAGTTGCATAAAACAACAACAAGTAACTGAAAATCAGAATCCAAATTTTTTCACTTTTATCTTTTATTTGCCATGGTTTGTTTGCTTATAAAGCATTATCATTATATAGTTTTTTAAAAGGTAGAGTGTGATTGGATAACTTATAAAATATGTGACTACAAAGTCTGGTCCGTAAAAAATAGCATAGTTATACTTTGTTTTCTCTCCAACTAAGCTGTTACACCTTCTTAGTTGAAGCATAAACATATCAAAAATGTGCGCTCTCTGATGATTTTTGAATCTGTTCATTTTAGCAATATGGGTTTTAATAAAAAAAGATCGAAGTATTTAATTAACAATAAAACACCCCAAAAAAAGTATTTGACAGATTACCAGAAAACAAACATCAATAGTGTTTCAATAGTAACAAAGTTGGTTACAGTTGCAGAATAGAACACTGTTGCCTTATAAAAAAATAACGTGTCGTAATCTTAAGTTTACAAGAATTCAACAGTCGTTGAAACTTTGTTGTTGTGAATTTTTTTTTTTAATTTTAATTTAAAATGTAATTTTCGCGCACTGAAAATACCTTAATATGTTTCGCACAAACACCAAATTATTACTGGTTAGAGACTAGCATGTTTTAAGTATTTTAATACAAAAACCTCATTTTTTATAAAATTGTGGGATGGAACCTTGTTGTTCTGTTGTTGCGATATGTGTACTCTCACCCAAGTTAGATTTTTGTATACAAGGTAACTATGTATAAAACAGAAATATACGAGTTTTAAAAAAGAAATATGGATTATTTCGAGATAACATTGGTCGTGCATTATAAAGTAGACATTAATTTTATTATACTTTAGTGCTTAATTTGTTTTAATGAGCTTTCCAAGAGAAATTTTCATCAATTACAACTTCTAAAAACTTAGTATCCTCAGTATCTTACAATATATACTTATTTTTTTTTATGTACAAGTTATAAGATCTATTATTGTACATTAAATTTTTAGCAAAGAAATCTTAGTAGTGTATTTTTTTGTTACTTTGCATAAAATAAAGTGTATTTTATTTTTCTATGTTTAATGACAACTTATTTGTTTGAAATCATATATTCAGTTTTGAAATTCTTTGTTTACATTTTCATAAAGATCTTTGATGTTTGTTGAAAAATAAGTTTGTATCATTTGTAATCATTATATCAAACTTGTTTGAAACCTTTGAAAGATCATTTGTATAGATGACTAAAGATGACTGAAGAAATATATCAACTTTAATATTTTATCTCTCCCTATTTAAGTTTTTTTGACGAACATGATCCTGATTCTTTGATTGGCCAATGATCTCAGGATTTGATTTTTCTGAAAACTTTGTGATACTTGCGAGTTGAAATTTGACAAAATATTTTCACCATTTATGGATTAGCACAGTTTTAGTAATTAATGCATTTAACTTAATCAAATTTTTTTCATGCTCATCATGATATAAAAATGTTATTTAATACAGTTAACATGTTGCTCTAACGTTTGGGGCATCTCTTAAAATTTACAGAACGGTTTAATGCGATTAAATTATCAAGTAGTTTAACTAAAACAAAGTAGAAGGGGAGAAAGGGGGAAGGAGGCACATTAGAACGCTTTTTTCAAAAGATACCACAGCTTTTTTACTGTTTGACAAAATGGTAAAATTTTGCTGTTAAAATTTAGTTACTAATTTTTTAACAAAAAACAAAGCCCAGCTATTTCAAATAAATTATAATTGCTTTTTTTTTTCGTAAAAATGAAGCTACTCAGTGTCCGAAACTACCCCAGAAAAAATAGAAGTTTTGGACGACATTGGGGCAGTTTTGGAAATATAATAGAAAGACAAGAAATGTTTCTTTAAATTTCATTTTTTTTATTGTGTAGTAATTATAATCAACAATAATTAATTAAAGTAATTATAAACAACAGCAGAGTTAAAAGAATTATTACCATAACAGAATTATACTTATAAAAATCTCAAACAATTAAATAATTTTCTGGTATATTATATTCAAACAAACTAAAATGAAAATAATATTCAATCACCTATCAACCTCA